AAACGCCCCACTCCCACAGCTGGTGGCCCAAGATGAGACGCCCCACTCCCACAGCTGGTGGCCCAAGATGAGACGCCCCACTCCCACAGCTGGTGGCCCAAGGTGAGACGCCCCACTCCCACAGCTGGTGGCCCAAGGTGAGACGCCCCACTCCCACACCTGGTGGCCCAAGGTGAGACGCCCCACTCCCACAGCTGGTGGCCCAAGATGAGACGCCCCACTCCCACAGCTGGTGGCCCAAGGTGAGACGCCCCACTCCCACAGCTGGTGGTCCAAGATGAGACGCCCCACTCCCACAGCTGGTGGCCCAAGATGAGACGCCCCACTCCCACAGCTGGTGGCCCAAGATGAGGCGCCCGACTCCCACAGCTGGTGGCCCAAGATGAAACGCCCCACTCCCACAGCTGGTGGCCCAAGATGAGACGCCCCACTCCCACAGCTGGTGGCCCAAGATGAGACGCCCCACTCCCACAGCTGGTGGCCCAAGATGAGACGCCCCACTCCCACAGCTGGTGGCCCAAGATGAGACGCCCCACTCCCACAGTTGGTGGCCCAAGGTGAGACGCCCCACTCCCACAGCTGGTGGCCCAAGATGAGACGCCCCACTCCCACAGCTGGTGGCCCAAGGTGAGACGCCCCACTCCCACAGCTGGTGGCCCAAGATGAGACGCCCCACTCCCACAGCTGGTGGCCCAAGATGAGACGCCCCACTCCCACAGCTGGTGGCCCAAGATGAGACGCCCCACTCCCACAGTTGGTGGCCCAAGGTGAGACGCCCCACTCCCACAGCTGGTGGCCCAAGGTGAGACGCCCCACTCCCACAGCTGGTGGCCCAAGATGAGACGCCCCACTCCCACAGCTGGTGGCCCAAGATGAGACGCCCCACTCCCACAGCTGGTGGCCCAAGATGAGACGCTCCACTCCCACAGCTGGTGGCCCAAGATGAGACGCCCCACTCCCACAGCTGGTGGCCCAAGATGAAAAGCCCCACTCCCACAGCTGGTGGCCCAAGATGAGACGCCCCACTCCCACAGCTGGTGGCTCAAGATGAGACGCCCCACTCCCACAGTTGGTGGCCCAAGGTGAGACGCCCCACTCCCACAGCTGGTGGCCCAAGATGAGACGCCCCACTCCCACAGCTGGTGGCCCAAGGTGAGACGCCCCACTCCCACAGCTGGTGGCCCAAGATGAGACGCCCCACTCCCACAGCTGGTGGCCCAAGATGAGACGCCCCACTCCCACACCTGGTGGCCCAAGATGAGACGCCCCACTCCCACAGCTGGTGGCCCAAGATGAGACGCCCCACTCCCACAGCTGGTGGCCCAAGATGAGACGCTCCACTCCCACAGCTGGTGGCCCAAGATGAGACGCCCCACTCCCACAGCTGGTGGCCCAAGTTCTTCGATTTACTAGATGATAACCCAGCCCCACAGTACATATATATATATATATATATATATATATATATATATATATATATATATATATATATATATATATATATATATTTATTTATATTCATTTGGGTGAGGTGATATGTTACAACAGTTTTGGATGAGGTGAAAACAAACTTTCAACACAAGACAGAACACGAAACAATGGGTATAATATTTTGTAAGTTAAAGAGAAGAATGGAAGTAACTGCAAAGGGCCTATTGGCCCATATTTCTTGATGCTTCTATATTGGTGTGGAGTCTTGAAGTGGGTAGAATATAGTATAGTATAGAATATCTAAGAGTCAATGCTCGATCCTGCAGGCACAAATAGGTGAGTACAAATAAGTGAGCACACACACACATACAGGTGTGTGTGTGTGTGTGTGTGGAAGGACACAGGTGGAAACTTAGTACCCATATGAGCCACAGAGGCCAAAGAGCCATAGCTCAACCCCCGCAAGCACAATTAAGTGAATTAGGTGAGTACACACACACACACACACACACACACAATGTTTCTCTCGTTTGAGAGAAACATTGTTTGTTTCTCTCGATTTGATTCTCTCGTTTTCTCTCGATTCGTTTCTCTCGATTCTTTCTAGAATCGTTTCTCTCAATGTTTGCCGATGATGCAAAAATTATGAGGAGGATTGAAACTGAGGACGATAGTAGGAGGCTACAAGATGACCTAGACAGACTGAGTGAATGGTCCAACAAATGGCTGTTGAAGTTCAACCCGAGTAAATGCAAAGTAATGAAACTAGGTGGTGGAAATAGGAGGCCAAACACAGGATACAGAATAGGAGATGAAGTACTTAATGAAACGAACAGAGAGAAAGATCTAGGAGTTGATATCACACCAAACCTGTCTCCTGAAGCCCACATAAAAAGAATAACGTCTGCGGCATATGCGAGGCTGGCTAACATCAGAACAGCGTTCAGGAACCTGTGTAAGGAATCATTCAGAATCTTGTACACCACATATGTAAGACCAATCCTGGAGTATGCGGCCCCAGCATGGAGCCCGTACCTTGTCAAGCACAAGACGAAGCTGGAAAAAGTCCAAAGGTATGCCACTAGACTAGTCCCAGAACTAAGAGGAATGAGTTACGAGGAAAGGCTGCGGGAAATGCACCTTACGACACTGGAAGACAGAAGAGTAAGGGGAGACATGATCACAACCTACAAAATCCTCAGAGGAATCGACCGGGTAAACAAGGATAAACTATTCAACACTGGTGGGACGCGAACAAGGGGACACAGGTGGAAACTGAGTACTCACATGAGCCACAGAGACGTTAGAAGGAACTTTTTTAGTGTCAGAGTAGTTAACGGATGGAATGCATTAGGCAGTGATGTGGTGGAGGCTGACTCCATACACAGTTTTAAATGTAGATATGATAGAGCCCAGTAGGCTCAGGAATCTGTACACCAGTTGATTGACAGTTGAGAGGCGGGACCAAAGAGCCAAAGCTCAACCCCCGCAAGCACAAATAGGTGAGTACACACAGCCACCACCGATAGTAATGTGAGGATAAGGTTAGCGCACTCTTGGCAAGCATCGACTGTAAATCAGTCTAAGCAAACATTTCAATCAGAATAGTGGAAGCTTGTCTGTGTAGCGGCCATTGTTAGGGGGAGACCAATGACCTCCAACATTGTTCAACTGCTGTACCGACCAATGTTAGGCAGTGGCTTGAGGCAGTGATTGATAAGGTAAAGCGTATCCCCTGTCACCAACCCGGAAATATCTCTACAAATGCAATTCCTTCAGGAAAATATCACACAATTTTTTAAGGTAACTTCAGTCAGTTGTTTGTGTGTGATGAGGAAGCTGTGTGTTGACGCTATGGTGCAAGTCTCAGGGACCGTGACACGTGGTGCTCACGTGTTTGTTGACCTCGTGAGCTGACACTCTTGTCACCAGGAAAGAATTCTGCACTAGTTTATTCTCTTTAAATACATCTTCGTTTGATTACTGCCTGTGTACGAAGGGGCTATGGGTATACAGCTGTAACAGAACCTGATGTCCTCCTTCCCTTTACATCTCCACTGTCAGCCGCTGTCAGCCGCAAGGTTCCCAATATACAGGCAAGACGATGACATACATTTCCACGTGGATTCAACAGAGCATAAGAAGTTCCTAAACATATCGGGGGGGGGGGTATATTCTTACTAAAGCGAACATACGAGTCACAAACACTCATACTCTGCCTAAATAAATCAGAAACAAGAAACAAGCAGCACTTAGTGGGCCAGCCACAGACTTAGAGCCCGCGCAGGAATATTCCTGCAAAAAAAAAATCTTAGGAGAAGCCTAACAAAGGTGAACCACAAGACTGTGTTTAGGAGTGCATCGTTCTGACACAACTAGTTGTGTGTCACACTAGTGGAAGACAGAAGAGTTAAGGGGGACATGATCGCCACATACAAGATTCTCAAAGGAATTGATAGGGTAGATAAAGACAGGATATTTAACACAAGGGGCACACGCACTAGGGGACACAGGTGGAAACTGAGTGCCCAAATGAGCCAGAGAGTTATTAAAAAAAAGTTTTTAGTGTCAGAGTGAATGCATTAGGCAGTGATGTGGTGGAGGCAGACTCTATACACACTTTCAAGTGTAGATATGATAGAGCCCAATAAGCTCAGGAACTTGTACACCAGTTGAGAGGCGGGACCAAAGAGCCAGAGCTCAACCCCCGCAAGCACAACTAGGTGAGTACACACACACACACACACACACACAATAAATTTATTAGATTTTTCCTGATTTATCAAGTCAATGCTATCACCTCCTTCAGTGATCGTGCATACAGTATTTAGCTTAATATTTAATACATAACGACTGTATTCCGCTGTAAGAGTTACACCATTATGATCAAATACTCACTGGCGCTGTGAGGTTGATACACATCCTGCAACCCGTTCTCGCACTTTCTTATAGTCAATATTGACTTATTAAATACGTGCATATGTGACATACTAATTTATTGTGAATATTTTAGTTTACCTTGAGAAGCTTCATAGAAAACACCGACCTTACCTAACCTTCTTAGTATGTTAAGATAAGCATCTTATTGCTTCGTAATTACAATTATTACTTAACCTATTATAGGTATAGGTTAAATAACAATAATGAAGCTTCTAAAGGTAAACTAAAATATTCACAATAAATTAGTATGTCACATAAACACGTATTTAATAAGTCAATATTGACTATAAGAAAGTGCGAGAACGGGTTGCATCGTGATGATAACCGGGGATTAAGTTCTATCCTAGAGCCTGTCTAGTTCCAGCCTAGTAAAGGACAGAAGGAGGCTGATCTTAGCTCTATTCTGAGTGTGGTTCCGGCACCTGGACGCGACCTCCGGGGCAGTTGACGCCGGCAGATTTAACCAGCTTATTTTGAGAGTGATTTATGTATCCAGATATTCCCGAACACATAGACGCCGCTCGCACCAGGGGAATACGAACAGTTTGGACAGGTTTTTAGCTACATGTTTTTAGAATGGAAAATTCTGCTCACTCAGGAGAGACTTAAGTTTTCTAAAGACTCAGAAAATGTTTACCACCAATGAGAAGCCGTCCTCCACATTGTCCACTAATGAGAAGCCGTCCTCCACATTGTCCACCAATGAGAAGCCGTCCTCCACATTCTCCACCAATGAGAAGCCGTCCTCCACATTCTCCACCAATGAGAAGCCGTCCTCCACATTGTCCACCAATGAGAAGCCGTCCTCCACATTGTCCACCAATGAGAAGCCGTCCTCCACATTCTCCACCAATGAGAAGCCGTCCTCCACATTCTCCACCAATGAGAAGCCGTCCTCCACATTGTCCACCAATGAGAAGCCGTCCTCCACATTGTCCACCAATGAGAAACCGTCCTCCACATTGTCCACCAATGAGAAGCCGTCCTCCACATTCTCCACCAATGAGAAGCCGTCCTCCACATTGTCCACCAATGAGAAGCCGTCCTCCACATTCTCCACCAATGAGAAGCCGTCCTCCACATTCTCCACCAATAAGAAGCCGTCCTCCACATTCTCCACCAATGAGAAGCCGTCCTCCACATTCTCCACCAATGAGAAGCCGTCCTCCACATTCTCCACCAATGAGAAGCCGTCCTCCACATTCTCCACCAATAAGAAGCCGTCCTCCACATTCTCCACCAATGAGAAGCCGTCCTCCACATTGTCCACCAATGAGAAGCCGTCCTCCACATTGTCCACCAATTAGAAGCTGTCCTCCACATTCTCCACCAATGAGACGCAAGGTTCAAGACGGGGTGTGAGGTGCAGGAGCTGCTCACTACAGATGCACCACGTGTGGAGGTCGGGCGGGTGTAATGTGGTGATAGTTGACTATGGATGCTTGGCTTGGTGTGCTTCATGTATAACACCTCGCCCATGTTAGGGAGGGAGAGGCTGCTGCTGCTGCTGCTGTTGTTGGTGCTGCTGCTGTTGTTGCTGTTGTTGCTGCTGCTGCTGTTGTTGCTGTTGTTGCTGCTGCTGCTGCTGCTGCTGTTGTTGCTGTTGTTGCTGCTGCTGCTGCTGCTGCTGTTTCCTGGCCATGTCTGCCCCTCTTACACACAAATATATGTAGTACACATAACTGGGCAAAATAGACTGGTTAGAAAGGCGGGGTGCAAGAGCTAATAGCTCGATTCTGCAGACATTAATAGTAAAGACACACATGTATGTGTTCTCTGTATGTTATTTAACATTTCTCTGGTATAATCCACTTGGTGTACTGGTGTACACGTGTTAATTAAGAGCAGTTAGAGCACAAGAGAGAGAGTGTACAGGAACAGTCTCATACACAATGAACATGGAAGAACAACTCGTCTTAAAAGCGACGCGCTATCTTTAGGTTAGGTTGTACACCTCTACCTGTCTTCCACAACCTCCCGCCCGAGCCCCTCAAACCCCTCACATTCCTCTCCCTCCCCAACCCCCTGTAACCCCCACCCCAGCACCCCCCCCCCAACCCCACCCCTGCAATTCCCGCCCGCCAGCCTGCCTACATGCAGTATCTAGTCCACGAATTATCTGAGTTAGTCACTTGCAGTAACTTGCACTCAGGTCCAGCACCCCAAACATTATCAGGGACACACACACTCAGGTCCAGCACCACAAACATTATCAGGGACACACACACTCAGGTCCAGCACCACAACATTATCAGGGACACACACACACTCAGGTCCAGCACCACAAACATTATCAGGGACACACACACTCAGGTCCAGCACCACAAACATTATCAGGGACACACACACACACTCAGGTCCAGTACCACAAACATTATCAGGGACACACACACTCAGGACCAGCACCACAAACATTATCAGGGACACACACTCAGGACCAGCACCACAAACATTATCAGGGACACACACACTCAGGTCCAGCACCACAAACATTATCAGGGACACACACTCAGGACCAGCACCACAAACATTATCAGGGACACACACACTCAGGACCAGCACCACAAACATTATCAGGGACACACACACTCAGGTCCAGCACCCCAACATTATCAGGGACACACACACACACTCAGGTCCAGCACCACAACATTATCAGGGACACACACACACTCAGGACCAGCACCACAAACATTATCAGGGACACACACACTCAGGACCAGCACCACAAACATTATCAGGGACACACACACTCAGGTCCAGCACCACAAACATTATCAGGGACACACACACACTCAGGACCAGCACCACAAACATTATCAGGGACACACACACTCAGGACCAGCACCACAAACATTATCAGGGACACACACTCAGGACCAGCACCACAAACATTATCAGGGACACACACACTCAGGACCAGCACCACAAACATTATCAGGGACACACACACTCAGGTCCAGCACCCCAAACATTATCAGGGACACACACACACACTCAGGTCCAGCACCACAACATTATCAGGGACACACACACACTCAGGACCAGCACCACAAACATTATCAGGGACACACACACACACTCAGGTCCAGCACCACAAACATTATCAGGGACACACACACACACTCAGGTCCAGTACCACAAACATTATCAGGGACACACACACTCAGGACCAGCACCACAAACATTATCAGGGACACACACACTCAGGTCCAGCACCACAAACATTATCAGGGACACACACACACACTCAGGACCAGCACCCCAACATTATCAGGGACACACACACACACTCAGGTCCAGCACCACACACACACTCAAGACTAAGGCACACCTCAGCCGTCATATATATTGACTGATCAAGGCATCAGCTGAGGCCATAAAGATCAGGAGAGCCAACAAGCGCCGCCACATAACAGTTGTGACCGCGGGTGGTCACAACCTCGTAGTAATTCACTGTAATATTCACTTGTGATAACCAGGTCACCACTCTCACCACTATATCCAATCACCATCAACTGAGATTCTAAGTAGCCAAGTTGAATGCTAAGTGGGGGGGGAGGAGACAGAGACAGAGAGACAGAGAGACAGAGAGACAGGGAGACATGGAGACAGAGAGACAGGGAGACATGGAGACAGAGAGACAGAGAGGAGGGAGAGAGAGACAGAGAGGAGGGAGAGAGAGACAGAGAGGAGGGAGAGAGAGACAGAGAGATGCTACTGCTTGTCATCAACGCACACAAACGCGGCCATCACCTTGAGTTGTAACTAAGTTTCACCCTGAGATATGGTAATCAGCGAACCGGGGAGAGAGAGAGAGAGAGAGAGAGAGAGAGAGAGAGAGAGAGAGAGAGAGAGAGAGAGAGAGAGAGAGAGAGAGAGAGAGAGAGAGAGAGAGAGAGACAGAGAGAGACAGAGAGAGACAGAGAGAGACAGACAGAGAGAGGACACTCAGATCATGTCTGCTGGGAGGTACTGGACATGACTAAATGACAAACTGCCCCACTTTGTTCCTATGATCTTAGACCCCCCCCCTAGTGTTCACTGATTGATGAAGATTAAGCCACCCAAAAGGTGGCACGGGCATGAATAGCCCGTAAGTGGTGGCTGTGGCTGACGGCTGACTCCATACACAGTTTCAAATGTAGATATGATAGAGCCCATTAGGCTCAGGAATCTGTACACCAGTTGATTGACGGTTGAGAGGCGGGACCAAAGAGCCAGAGCTCAACCCCCGCAAGCACAACTAGGTGAGTATACCCACACCCCCACTGTGTATACTCAAGGGATGCTATACCCACACCCCCACTGTGTATACTCAAGTGATGCTATACCCACACCCCCACTGTGTATACTCAAGTGATACTATACCCACACCCCCACTGTGTATACTCAAGTGATGCTATACCCCCACTGTGTATACTCAAGTGATACTATACCCACACCCCCACTGTGTATACTCAAGTGATGCTATACCCACACCCCCACTGTGTATACTCAAGTGATGCTATACCCACACCCCCCACTGTGTATACTCAAGTGATACTATACCCACACCCCCCACTGTGTATACTCAAGTGATACTATACCCACACCCCCCACTGTGTATACTCAAGTGATGCCTGACCTCATATACAAGTGCTGGGAGATGTGACCCGACCTCGTTCACTGCCTGCATCACGCCGCAGTTCTCAATACTCACCTACACTGTTAACCACCCCCCCCCCCTCCCCGTCCCCCGGCACTGTTGCACTGTTGTGTTCTGGTGTGTAGTGCTCCTTCCCTACACCCACCTCTACGGACGCTGCAACTAACATGTTGCAAGTCACATGTGCAATTGTCACCGAGGACTGAAGCAAGAGTGGCCAATACTCCCAGCACCATTGCAAGGGGGGGGTGAGTATAATTATTATACCAATGCCCCAGCCCGTATTAATTGGTATTATACCAATTAATTGGTATAGTTAGTATTATACCGTATTCATTATTGGTATTATACCAATACCCCCGTCCTACAAATATACCAAATTGCCCAAATCTAACCTAACTTAACCTTACTTAACCTAATCTTACTTAACCTAACCTTACTTAACCTAACTTAACCTTACTTGAGCTAACCGAACCAACGGACCCACACATAGAAAACGTAGTTGATTGTGAGCCGCTATGATTTATAGTACATCATATTTTATCCGTTTGAGATGACGTCAAACTGACCTTACTGAGCGGTGAGTTGTAGTGACCTTACTGAGCGGTGAGTTGTAGTGACCTTACTGAGCGGTGAGTTGTAGTGACCTTACTGACCTTACTGAGTTGTAGTGACGGGTGTCAGAGGGGTGAAGCAGCAGGATGGGGGGGAGGGGGCCGCTTACCTGTAAACACAAGACAGGTAACATGAGACCAAGTTAAACATTATTATTATTACAGGCTAAGATGAACAATTTATTACATCATTATTGTGATGTGGGAGACGTGTCCGTCACTGTTGACGTGTCCGTCACTGTTGACGTGTCCGTCACTGCTGACGTGTCCGTCACTGCTGACGTGTCCGTCACTGTTGACGTGTCCGTCACTGCTGACGTGTCCGTCACTGCTGACGTGTCCGTCACTGTTGACGTGTCCGTCACTGCTGACGTGTCCGTCACTGCTGACGTGTCCGTCACTGCTGACGTGTCCGTCACTGCTGACGTGTCCGTCACTGCTGACGTGTCCGTCACTGCTGACGTGTCCGTCACTGCTGACGTGTCCGTCACTGCTGACGTGTCCGTCACTGCTGACGTGTCCGTCACTGTCGACGTGTCCGTCACTGTCGACGTGTCCGTCACTGTCGACGTGTCCGTCACTGCTGACGTGTCCGTCACTGTCGACGTGTCCGTCACTGCTGGCGTGTCCGTCACTGTCGACGTGTCCGTCACTGCTGACGTGTCCGTCACTGCTGACGTGTCCGTCACTGTTGACGTGTCCGTCACTGTTGACGTGTCCGTCACTGCTGACGTGTCCGTCACTGCTGACGTGTCCGTCACTGCTGACGTGTCCGTCACTGTTGACGTGTCCGTCACTGTTGACGTGTCCGTCACTGCTGGCGTGTCCGTGTCAGTGGGCGGCCAAGTGCGCATGAGGCGGGGATGCATATGTATATGGGTGTGTGTGTGTATATGTATATATGTGTATGCATATATGTACATGTATATAGGTATATATAAGTATATATGTGAGTATATGTATGTATATATGTCTATGTATGAACAACTCGATAAATAATAATAATAAAATAAAGAGCCTTAAACAGAATAACATGTGTGGAAGC